TTGGGATTTTGAACCGGCTTTAATCGAATTAGATTAATTTTTATCTTTTTAGAATTAAAAAAATGTCTGGCTCTTCTCAAAACCGATTCTCCAACATGTTCACCATGGATGACATTCAATCGCATCACAATAGTGTTAGCACTGATGCGATTGATGTCAATGGAAGTGGAACTTTCACCCCCGGTAGTAGTGATACTAGGGGAAAAAGGAAGGCTTCTAGGTTGAGTAGCCCGGTTGGAAAGTTTTCAAAGTAGAGGATATTGAGGGTAAGGGGAAAAGGGTCGTTTGCCAAAAATGTAGGAAAGACTTTAGATATTATAGCAAGGGTGGTACGGGTCATTTGAGCAGACATCTGCTCACACATGAGCGAGAGGAAGATGAAGGGAGAGAAACAACCCAAACACTGATTGGGAGGGGACTAGTTTTGGTACTTTTAGATATTCACAAGAAAAAATGAGACAAGAACTTACTAAGTATATTGTACATGTAGAACAACCATTTATATTAGCTGAAGATCCAAAGCTAGAAAAATGGTTGTGTAGTTCTGTAAACCCACAATATAAAAAAGTTTCTAGGAAAACTATAAGAATTAATGCTTTAAAAATTTTTTATTCATATAAACAAAATTTAATTTGTTTGTTAGCCTTAATTCTAAAGTTGCAATTACTTCGTATGTTTGGACATCCAAATTTAATATTAATTATATTTGTGTTATCGGTCATTTCATTGATGAAAATTGGCTTTTGAATAAAAGAATTTTAAATTTTACTAGGTTTGAATGGCCACATAGTGGCACAACTATTGCTGCAAGTATTTTAAATACTTTGCATGCTAGTTTTGATAATGCCAGCAATAATGATTTTGCAATAAATATTTTAAAATCTCAATTAAAACCATGCTTAAATGGTAAATTATTTCACATTAGATGTGCATGTAACATCTTAAATTTATGTATTCAAGATGCCTCAAATATTATTTCTACTCATATTTCAAAAATTAGAAATTGTATTATATATATAAAAAGTTTAGGGGAAAGAAAACAAGAATTTAAATATTTATGCCAAAATTATGGTTTAAAATATAAACATTTTATATTAGATGTAAAGCATAGGTGGAATTCTACCTATGCTATGCTAGAAACTTGTATATCTCATAAACAAATTCTTTCTGATTTTTATAATTAAAAAATGCCTAATGATATGATATTTGAGGAAGACTACGAAAATGCGGTCTGTATAAGAGATTTTTTAAAACATATGATGCAACAAATGAATTATCTAGAATTTATTATCCAACTAGTTGTACTTTAGCATATCAATTAATGGTAATTAGTGATTGTTTTGCTAAATATAGAAATAATCCACAAATTCAATGTATTGTTGAAATTATGAAAAATAAATTTAAAAAATATTGGAAGAACATTTATCTCCTTTATTGTTTAGCTACAATATTAGACCCTATGATTAGGAAAGATGGTTTAGATATTTTACTTGAAACATATTATGAAAATATGAATATTGATATAGGAAATAAAAAAAGAAGAAATTTAATAATTTGTTATTTGAAATGTACAGTATGTATGAATCTGAAGTTATAGGAAATATTTCTACAACTTGTTCATCATCTTCTTCTTCTACTTCTAACCTTGAGCCCAGTAGTAGAAGAGAAAAGTTTTTTTATTTAATAAGTAGAAGACATAAATCTTCTAGTTCTGTAACAAGTTCGTTTACTAAACTTAATTTTTATTTGCAAGCAAATTTTTCTAATTTAGGTGAAGTATCAAATAATTTTGATATTTTAGCCAGGTGGAGTGAACACTCAAAAAATTATCCGGTTCTCGCCGCTATGGCACATGATCTACTAACCCCTCTGGCGCCTACAATTTCATCGGAGTCTTGTTTTAGTGTAGGTACCAGGGTGCTGGATGACAAAAAAAAGCTGCATGAACAATGAGAGCATAGAAATGTGCATATGCTTCAAGCATTGGCTAGATGTAGAAGATAGATTACAAGACAAGGGAGGGCATGATACAACACCAGACATTTCACCCGAAGCAGATGATGAAAGTCATGAATGATGATTCATGAATTTGACTACTTGTA